CTCCACTGCTTCAGAATGGCCATTCTAACTATATTGAGATGTATAGAGTTTTGGACTGGGCAATTGTTTGAGTGACTACGTTAAACCAGCTGTTTTTATTTGTGAACTAATTAGAATAAAATTATTTAATTTTATTAAATAAAAATTAAAGGATTGCACTGTCTACTCAGTTCATTGTTCATATATTAATTGGCAGAGTTTTCTGGTGTTTAATTTTTGCAATTCTTTGTACATTCCAGATATTAACTGGTTTGTTTGAAGAACAGCCAGCAAAGATTTTTCTCCTATTCTGTATATATAAGGGCTGCAGAGAGAGATGGCTTAGTGGTTAAAAAGCAGTGGCTGCTTTCCTAGAGAATCTAGGCTCAATTCCTAGCATCCACATGGCAGCTCACAACCATCTATAACTTCAATTCCAAGAGATCCAACACCTTTTTTCGAGCTTCTTGAGCACCAGGTTCATATACATATACATATATTTACATGCAGGCAAAACACCCACATACATAAAATTAAACACACAGACATAATACATTCTATACAACTAAGTCTAAGAAACAGTACACCTTTTGAGATAGGATCTCACTATATAGGCCAGGTGGCCTCGAATTTGCAATCCTCCTGTCTCCACTTGCCACATCCTGGAATTAGGGGTAGAACCACCACACCTTGCTTAAATGTGCTTTTAATGTTCAAATGATGAGGAAAATTGCTTATTCTTTGAGCCTCTCTCTTTAGCAGTAGACTGGGAAGAATGTTCCACATGGTAGTGAAGAGTATATGTGCCACTCTGTGTAAGGCGTTCAGCTCTGTGCCTAGCTCCCAGTAAGTGCTTGGCAAATAGTAATTGTAATGGTAAAGTACAGTCATGTACCCAGCCATTACTTGTTTGGGAATGGGTTGGTTTCCACTTGAATATAATAAGTAATCTCAATAATAAACATCATTTTCAGAACTATAGGAATTTTTGTTTCAGCAGATAATTCTATTTGTTTTGGACTACAGATATGGCCAGTAGGTCCCATTTGAGTTGGACATAGAGAAACACAAGTGTGTGACGGAAGGACCTGAGGCCTAAGAAAAAGTACCTGCTCCTTAACAAGGGTGATGGTAAATAACTACTGGGACCTGAGAAGCAGAATGGAGACCAGCAGCTATTTCCCCCTACACATACCCTGCCAAAGTAGCGAGACATCTTTTAGGAGTCAGGGGATAAAGTGCTTAGAAGGGTCCTGTCTTAGTAGTGAGGAAAACCTCCTGCACTCAAGAGTTGTTCAGCTCTACACAATTCATCCTGAAAAGTCTCAGATGTTCTCCAGGTTGCTCAATAACATCCTAGAAGCCAGCTCATGGGTCTGTATAGCAATATAGAAATATCCAGGAGATAAGAAAAGGTAGACTGTGACATCAAACCTCATGTGGCCAGGAATACAAAGCAGCAGGAAATATAAGGTAAGGAAGAGATGAAGAACACATTTGTGATTGTCAGGGGTTTTGTTTAAAAGGGAAAAGTTGGTTGTGGCCATGAAAAGGCAGCATGAGAAAATAGTTTTATATATTTAAAACTTTTATTATTATTGTGTGCATGTGCCACACTGAGCCTGTGGAAACCAAAGAACAAATTTTAGAGTCAATTCTCTACCATTAAGTGGGTTCCAGGGCTAGAACTTAGGTCACTAGGCTGTTGGGAAAGCACCATTACCCATGGAACTATGCCACTGGCCCCCAAGTTTGAATGTTAACTATTTTGGTAGCATAAAACCATATTCTACCACTGTCAATATCCTGCTTTCTTTTTATGCTATAATTTTGTAAGATATAGCCTACAGGTAAACTGGGTCAAGGTTTCTTTATTGTTTTTTTAATTCTAATAGGTTTATAAATATTTCAGAAATAGAATTTTTAAAAATGTAAAGGGCAAACAGGTTTAATAAATCAATAAGGAAATATAAAAAAAACTATAATTACATTAGGGAGCTCATATAACAGTAAACATTTACATTCCCAAGTAAACGGGAAAAAATCACTACCCTTCTTACAAAAAGATAATTTTCATAATTTATAAAAAATCTATTAAAATCAAAATTATCAAACCTATAGAAAAACAAAAGAAATAACCAGACAATTTTGTAAAAATATCATCAATTTACAAATGAAAACCTAATTTTAAGCTGCATATAATGGAACACATCACAGCACTCAGGAGGCAGAGGCAGATGGATCTCTGTGAGTTTGAGGACAGCCTGGTCTACACAGTGAGTTTCAGGCCAACAAGAGTTACAGAGTGAGACCTTGTCTCCAAAAAAATAAAAAGACAAAGAAAACACAAAAAAACAAAACATCAACAAAAAAACCCCCTAAATTTACTCATAAGAAAAATTTAAGTGAGTTCCAGGACAGCTAGAGCTACATAGTAAGACCCTGTCTCCAAAAAAATGAAAAAAAATAAAGTTAAAAGAAATAAAACTATTTTATTTTGAAACAGTCTCACTACATACCCCAGGCTGGCTTCTACCTTGTAAGTACTGGGATTACAAGCATGTGCCATCATACCCGAGCTGACAAATTATTTCCCTGGGCAGATTAGCAATAGTAAAAACAGAAGAAACATTTAGATGAGCCATCACATTTGGGGGGCTGTCATGTCCACTAACACCGCAGTTTCACACAGAGGTGGAATCTTGTAGTAGCTCTACAAGCTGACAACTAGCTTGCTTTGTAATGAATGCTTCATAAAGTAATTAATAGCATTTGTGTTCAGGCTTATGCTCTCTATAGAGATTATCACACTGTTTGGGATTCAATAGAATGAGTGTATATGTACATACTCTAAAAAATGTTTAAAAAGTTTCCAAAGCTTTGGTTGGAAAAATGTTTTTGATGAAGTATCTCAACAATTGGATCAGTTGAATTCTTGAATTAATTTCGTCAATAAATAACCATGCAAAGGTTGACAGGTAGGGAAGATGAAATCAAGTAGGCCTTGTTAGGAGAATCTGTTGATAATTCTTCCATACCAATACAGGATTTGATTGTCAGTTAAGGCTTGCAGTTTCTGGGGACAAGGTTGGTACATTGGGAGCTAGAGGATGGCTTAGTGGTTAAGAACCTATACTGCACTTGCAGAAGATACAGGTTTAGTTCCCAGAATCCATTATCAGGCAATTCACAACTGCCTGTAACTCCAGCTCTAAGGGATCCAATGTCGTCCTCTTCTGGACTTTTCAGAAGTACTGGCATTCACATGTGGTGTACATATCCACATATAAAATAATAAAACATATATTTAAGATTGCTGAATTACAAATGTTATCATGATGTACTAACAAATTCTGTAGAAGTGGCAAATAAGGTGGCCTACAGTTTAAATATCCAGAAACAATGAATACCAATGCTATCAGATTTCAGTGCTCCAACAGATACAGCAGAGTGACTACTATGTGTTCAGAAACTCTCTAATGATTGCTACACCAGGCTAAGAAAGCAGCAGGGATGATATTGCCAAGATAAAAATCTATCAATGTCCTAAACGAACAAGAGATTTCATGGTAGAAGAAAATGCATAAAAGGAAAGATGAAAAAAGCTATAGGAGGGAGTGAAGAGATGTCTAAGTGGTTAAGAGCTCTGGCTGCATTTCCAACGGACCCAGGCTCATAAACTCCAGTTTCAGCGAATCTGAAACCTTCTTCTAGCCTCTTTGGGCACCAGGCACACATGTGGTAAAACACCCATACACTTAAAAATATACACAACTTTTTTAAGAAACTATTTAGTGGCAATTTTCTTTTCTATTTTATCTAATTTCTTAAATACTTAAAAATTTGTACAAATAGTTCAACTAAAAGCTAAAAATTAGTTCAAAAGTAATGTAAATGCACAAAGCATAAATATGCTTGAATATGAAACATTATGTGACTAGTAAGGGAATATATTTTTATATATAATCAATCCATGATCTTTGAAAAAAAGTATTTTAAAAGGTTATATATAAACTAGTATATTCTGTATCTTACTTTTATTTCAAAGTATTATAAAATATAAAATTTAATAGAGAAAAACTTGATGTCAACAAAATACTCTAAATGCATAAAAACTTTAAATCCTAAAATCTAGACACAGGAAAAAGAAAGTAACATTATTGCTTTTGTATTTCCTGTCTGACTGGGAGACTATACTCCAAGTAATAAGAACATATTGTTAGACCAGCCAGTGGTAGCACACATTCTTAATCCCAGAACTTGGGAGGCAGAGGCAGGTAGATCTCTGAGTTCTAGGCCAGCCTGGTCTACAGAGTGAGTTCCAAAGACAGCCAGGGCTATACAGAGAAACTCTGTCTCAAAAAACAAAAAACAATGAATTGTTAATGGACCTATAAACTGGGAGGTAGCAGTACACACCTTTAATCCCAGCACTCAGGAGGCAGAGGTAGGCTAATCTCTGTGAGTTCGTAGGCCAGCCTGGTCTACAAAGTGAGTTCTAGGACTGCCAGAGTTACAGAGAGATCCTGTCTCAAAAAACAAACAAACAAACAAAAATACCCCAAACCAATATGGACCTATAGACAACAAAAATCATAAAATTTAAATATAAGTAGTATAAATGCATAGTGTAAAGTCTGAAAAGTATACAAAGGACCCAGGTGTGATGGCAGTTGATATCTCAGCACTCAGGAAGTAGAGGCTAGATCAGCCTAGGCTACAGAATAAGACCGTCTTTTAAAAAACCCCAAAATACAAAAGTACAAGAAGTATTTTAAAAGTCATTTTCTCCAGTCCTATGCACAGATAGAACCATGACAAGACTAACTTAATCCAGTAGAACAATAAACTACTGGAGGCACTGATGTAATGTTAATGTGCCATAGATAAGATATGGAATTTAAACTACAGGAAACAAATCATTCTTTGGTTATCTTTAACATGAAATAACATGTTCATTTCTCTTCATTGCATTTTCTGAGGGAAAGTTTCACAGACTACTCTTCTCAGGGATAGTGAACAACCTAGAAATTTGAAAAATTGTAAGGGCAGGAAGGAATAGAGTCAATATGTAGAAAGTATGATGGTAGGCAAAAGGGACTACCTATACACCTCACCGTTGTGGTATTTTACCCTGGGTCTTGTGGACATTTACAAGCATGACTGTCCAAAATTTGTATTTCTTCTAATAAAAGAAATGAGGAAATAAAATTCTGATTAACCTGGGATGAGGAGATGGCTCAGTTTACAGAGTACTTGCTTTTTAAGTGCATGCATGGCCTTATGTTCCATCCCCAGAACTCATAATCTAGTCAGAATGGCTATCATCAAGTAAACAAGTAAACAAGCCTGGATAGCTGGCTCAGTGGTTAAGATTACTTGTTGCTCTTGCAGAGGATCCAGGTTCTGGTCCTGGCACCTAAATAGTGGTTCACAGCCATTTATCAGTAACTCTGGTTTCAGGGGATTTAATGCCATTTAACCTATGCAGGCACAAAGTACACACATGATGCACATACATACATGCAAACAAAACATTCATATACATGAAATAAAATTTAGTTAAAAAAGAAAAAAAATTACAACAAATGCTGGCAAGGTTATAGGGAAAAAGGAACTACTGGTGGGAGTGTAAACTGGTACCATGACAATGAAAATCAGTATGAAGGCTCTTCAAACATATTACTCAAATATTACTACCATACGACACAGCTATCCCACTCCCAGGCATATATTCTAAAAACCCTATAGCATACTACTGAGATACTTGCACATTCATGCTCATTGCTGCTCTCTATTCACAACAGCAAGGAAATGAAAGCAGCCTAGTTGCCATCAACTAATGAATGGATAATTAAAATTTGGTGGAATTAGAAAATATTATATTGAGGCAGGCAGTAGTGGCGCAAGCCCTTAATCCCAGCACTCAGGAGGCAGAGGCAGGCAAATCTCTATGAGTTTGAGGTCAGCCTGGTCTACAAAGCTACACAGAGAAACCCTGTGTTGAAAAAAAAAAGAAACAAAAAAAAAAGAAAATATTGAGTGAGGTAACCAAGACCCAGAAAGATAAATGGCATATGTTCTTTTTCATATGTGGATCCTAGCTTTTAATTTTACATATGTATATTTTTGTGGGAATGTATGTAGATGTGAGGAAACCAGAAAGAGGCCCATGAGGAACAGGAATAGGGCTTTAAGGAAGCATAATAGGCTGGATAATAGAACACATGTGTAGGCAGAAAGAAAATATTGAAGACATTTAAGTAGGGGTGGGGAGCAGGGAGATGGCAGAATAGAGGGAGAGGAGGGAGGGTCAACTTAACATAAGCATGTAGGCAAATATCATATGGAAACTACTTTGTAAAGTAAAATTTTTGAAGGTAGAAAGTATACCTGAATACACACACACACCACACACACACACACACACACACACACACACACACACAGAGAGAGAGAGAGAGAGACAGAGACAGAGACAGAGACAGAGAGACAGAGGGGGGTAGGATGATTAACCAAATAATTAGATCTAAAGGGTCAATATGAAAAGTAGGCAACATTCACCAGGGAGAAAATTTATGAAACTACCTAAAGTAAGATGACTAGAGCAATTGCATCAGTGTGGCCTAGAAGCCCCACCACACACAAAACATCTAATGTATTAGTAAGGATATTTCTGCCTCTGTTGAGGCTGCAGACAGCTGCTCTGGAGAAATTTCTACACGGTCCTTTCTCTTGTCAGAACGTCGCAAGATGATGACAGAATGGATATGAACAATTCTGATGGTATCCATCTAAAGGAAAATCCAAAGAAATGGTTATTTCTCTCTCTGGCCAATTATACTTCTCTTTCCAATTTCCTGTAATTATAGGATTACATTTTATTAAAGTAGCAGTAGAGAATTTCAGTTTCAAAAACCGATGCTTTTCTTATTAATGATGCAATGGCGAGAGCGC